CCGAGAAATAGGCACAGGGGGCTGCGCGCGCTTGAACGATGGCACGAGACAGTTAGCGTTCATGCCTAACCGTCCAGTTACCGCAAACACCGAGCCGGATAGAGGGGAGCAGCAACAGAGCCAGGCTATAGGCGTGCAGTCCTTTCATGGAGTTGCTTCCCGTCACAAAGGTGAATCGTTGCCTCATCCGCTCCGCGATTCCATAAGAGTGCAATTATCTTTGCAAAGGCATGGGCCTTTGCATTGATGTGATGCGATTTATATTTGCACCAGTTGCGCCTCTGTTGTTGGCCGTGGCCTGTCGGGACGACTTTGGCTCTGTTGTATTTGTTATGCTCAGGGAGGCAGCAAAGCGATGAGTGGTGAGGCTGCGAACTTGCATGCGAAGCGCTCAAGGAAAAGTCAGTGGGGGATGAGCTCGGACGTTAGTGACAAAGTCGCAGAACAGATAGTGGAACGCATTTTTGGCTCGCGGCTTAAGCCGCGAACCACAAAGTCAAGAACAAGTGTCAAAGTCATCCGTGGATCACAAAGTCAGGGACAGTCATCCGTAAACCACAAAGTCAGGAACAAAGTCATCCGCGGACCACAAAGTCAGGGACAAAGCCATCCATGGATCACAAAGCTAGGGACAAAGTCATCGTGGATCAGAAAGTCAGGTACAAAGTCATCCGCGGACCACAAAGGGGCAAAAATCGACTGCTCCCAGATCTTTCCAAAGCCAGAAATCCTGATCAGCAACAAATGCCCTCTCGTGATGGAGGATAGACACCGGCCCAGAATGCACCTCTTTACGGCGCTGGCCAGGGGGCGGTGGGGGGGGGGGGGGGGTCGACGAGAAGCATGCGCTGCTCCAAGAGCGGCCACTCGCGTTGGGACCCATCGCTCAGCGCAGCAGCTTGGCCGCCAGCGCACACAGCTGCGGGAGCATCTTGTCCACCGTCTCATGCGCTGTTGGGTTGCTCCATATGCGTGACTTGTGGTTACCTGAAACATCTTGTCCACCCTCTCATGTGCTGTTGAGCTACTCCATATGGGTGGATTGTGTTTACCTGAAACTGGTATGCCACGTGCGGAAGGTTCTATGCTTTCAAAGCTCACTCGGGGATCACTGCAGGTCCAACTATTCTGAGAGGAAAGGTGCGATATGTGGTAGCCTCCTAGAGCTGGATCCGGAGCGGACGCCACGGTGACGTGGTGTTGGTCTGTTGTGGACGTCGCGGGATCAGCATTAAACCGGGACCTTGTAGTGAGCTTCGCCTCCGCAGCGTAAGCGTCAACGATATCACAGGATTTCGACTGTTAACAGTCGACTGCAACATGCCACTATGCGGCCATTCAGCGATACCACGGATAGTGTACAGAGTAGGATGGCAAGCTGTATGCGTCAATGACATCACACAGAGCAGTTGAACCAGTATCCTAGTGGGAGATTTTGGCTTCGTCGTCCTGAAAATGCGTTCTGATGCCTTTTTTGAAATGGTTTCATGTAAATGTCACCATAGCGCATTTGAAAACCATATCAAGAACCATATACCTTATGTTATGACATCCCCAATCATTGATACCTTCACGTGCTGTATGAGTTTGCCTGAGAACGGCAGTTTAAATTTACGCGCCCCCAGCTATGAAACACCTAAAAGTCACTGACCCGTGTGTGGGTCTGAGCTGCTTACTAAGGCCCCTACCTGAAAATTACTGACCGGCTGCTGGAAGACTTTTATATCCCAACCTTTCCGGAAACTATTTTCAATGGCCCGAACCCACGGACAAGGTCTTTTTTGAAAATTTGTGGTATTCTGTGTTTGCGTATGTCAGTAACATGATGTGAACGAAAAAAAGAACCGGGTCACATTCAGGCACGTTCTTGCTTATACTGAGCCGAGGTATGTGCATCCATTGGATATATTTTTTCGCCTTCCAGTGCAGGTTAGCTGCAGAGGTAATTGGTTTCGAGTTTTGGCAGCTTTTCCATCATCGTTTGCTTTACCAAAAGGATGTTTTGGTTCGATAGGCATAAATCCGCGGATAATCTCACAGATCATCTTGTTTTGGCCGGAATACATTAGCCCCACGTGATCTCTGATGATGGTCCAGTGTGACCGCGTGCCTGCTGACCGGTCCTAACTCACGACTTGTATATACGTTTACTTCCTCTGGTTTTTTCGCTATGTCGTTGCACCCTCGAGATTGACCGACACCCTCGAGCTTGAAGTGTGCCAAACTCGATGCACCAAGCCGGTTATTGGGCTGCCCCTCTTGGCTCACCACGTGGCTCTGCTCACGGTCCTTTTTTCTTCTTTCTTTCCTTTTTTCCGAGACCACTTTTTACTCTCCGAGACCAAGAGCAGTGTAGCTCTGGTGAGAGCGTCACGTCCTGGTTTGCAAGTTTGCCATCTATCACCGATTGGAACAAGGAATGACTCATAGTCAGGTGACGCTTGCCGTGGGCCCAACAGCGTTGCAAGGTCATTTTAGACGCGCATAATGGGATATTGTGGTTTCCATACAACCCTCGACATGGCCGCTGTACAAATTGTAACTCAGGTAATGAAAGTATTTCATAAGGAGGATGAAGTTGTTGAATTCCAGAGATAATTGGTTAACTGATTATCTGCAGCCTTTCGTCGCCTGTTGGGGCTCTTTGTTATTTCATGACATTATGCTTTTATTTTTCACTCCCCTCCATGCGTTTTGTTAATTTAATTTCCGTGACTATAATGCGAAACTAACGGATTAGTTGCTTGATGTGCAGATTGAGAACACTGTTACTTTTAATGTTAACACGAACTTAGTGTAGTTAACACGAACTTAGTGTAGTTAACACGAACTTAGTGTGGTTAACACGAACTGAGTGTAGTGACACGTATGTCGGTGGTGCAAGATAGCCCCGCTGCCGACGCGCCTTTAAGCACCAAATCACCACCACCACACTGACATGTATGTCCTGCAGTTGAATTTTTGCACGCATGCACCTGGGCGATGTCCTACATTGATCTGAAAAGATCACGCATGGGCGATGCCTTCAGTGCAACAGTGCTATACCGCATCAGCAATCACCTCAAAGAAATTTGGCTTTACGCCTTAAAGCACTCGATCTATTTCACAGCGGCTAGCTGCTCACGGAAATGCACAAAGCTCTAGCATGTCTCCCTTAACACGCGCTCGAGTGGGGGGTCAGATTGACCCCCGAAGGTTTTACAAAACGTTTCCGAACGCCGCACCAAATTTTGCATGTCTGTAGACATTTAAATAGCAGATCGTTGGACATACAAAATTTAGATGTACCATGCAAGGTCGCTGACATATGGCAGGTCAAAGTCAGGCCATGTTTTTAGCGAAGACAATTCCTAGAGAATCGTTTAATCTGATGCAACAACGGGGTGTTTGACGAAGCCATACATCTCTGAGATGCTTTCCTAGGCAAAACAAGTAGTGAATGAGCAAATGACGTTGACCTAATGCCAGGTATGAAGGTCAGATTAAGGTCAAAATCAGCCTGTTTTATTACTCTAGGGCTTACTGTATGGGATAGTTTCTGGTATTCATTTCAAATTTATTGATAACAGGAACCGCATTATACACATTTCATTAACTTGTAAGAGGTCAGAATAGGTCATTAACCCAAGATGACCTAGGTCGACATTTTGTTTTTTGGAGCATTCTGCCTAGCGTTATCTTTGTTGCTTATTGAAATGCAAAGCTCAAAGAAGTCTTGTATGATTTTGTCACCATGATCTTCAAAATGCCAAATAAGGTCACTGACCTTTTGACCTGAAATGAGTTTGTGGCCTTTTGCTCAGAAACACTTATCTACATTTTGTTTTGCGGGCACTTTGGAGACCAACCTAGAATTTGACCTTGTTTGACCTTATTTGACCTAAAGGTCATGATCTAGGAACCTAAAACTGTTACCTAAGTGAGTTTACGTACAGGTCACACACCGTGCAAATTTGGTGTGTCTAGCCTTCTTAGTTCCCGAGATCTCAGGCGGGGGTTCAAATTGATCCCCCCTCCCCCCCCCCTCCACCCGATCGAAGGGTATCTAGCCGGCCACCCGGGCGCATGTCAACTTCTCAGTCAAGCTGCCAGCTCAGATGCGAGTGTTGAGCTGAGTGTTGGAGCTTATCAAATTTGGAGGGCAGATGTCAAAACGATGGTCACAAAACGACATCGCGTTCTCATATCACACGATTTAAGGGTGAAGTAGGCATTAGGGGGGGGGGGGGGTTGTGACATGGGGGGGTTCAGGTCTCTTCACGTACATAATATAAAAAACTGAGGTGTTTGTCGTTAAACCTCTACGAAGAAGCAGAGGATCTCTTAAAGGTATAAGAACATCTGATGAAATGTGTTACGGTAATGATCAAGAGCGTTGACCTCTTTCTTTTCAGGCTTCTCCGGTTGTTCTGGTCAAAAGAAAGTTATCTTTAAACTCAGATAATAGCGCATGACAAACAGCGTCTTGGGTACTCATATCTAGACTTGGTCTCCATTTGTAACTTCCGCCCTTCGTGAACGTTAAATGAATTATAATGGCCCAGTCTCCGGTATGTGCCTTCTGTCATGTCGCTCTCTTCGCCTACAAACATTACATATATATATGTATATATATATATATATATATATATATATATATATATATATGTGCGTGTGTATATATGCTTATATATTCATATGTGTTTATATATTATGTATAGACTCTTTAACGCATATCCTTTTATTTTTCCCCATAATATATATTTTATTATTCATTATATTATTATGGTATCATATATACATATGTCATATGGCATATGTATATATGATATATATATATATATATATATATATATATATATATGTATCTATCTATCTATATATATATATATATATATATATATATATATATATATTCACCTGCAAACATTATTACATATCTTAATACAGGACATAACAGTGGAGCTGTGCATCCAATCAACACCACATGGTGACGAAAATCTCATTCCCCGTACCCTCACCTGCTGGCCGAAGGTGGAGGGCAGCGAGAACGTGCTGGAGATGAAGCAGTACGTATTGATGACCCTATCAGGCACCGCGTCCCTGTCGGTGAGGCAGGCGATCTTGTCGCCGAGGTACTGGGTGGCCGTCACCATCAAGCAGCTGCCCATGACGAAGACGAAGGTCGTGCGATAGTGGAGGCGGAACACGAAGCTGTCACCGCGCGGCTTGTTACGCGAAGCAAACAGCTTCGTCTGTGACGAGAGCGGACCCAGCACGGACAACATCGTGGCGCCAGAGAGGGACCGTTACGGTTACCTCCGTTGGTCAAGCGCCAGCGCCTATCAAACGCCCGAGAAGAAGCACGTAACGCCTAGCCGCTCCACTCGTGGACGCCCTGAGGACTGAGGACCACTGCTTCACTGCAAGAACGGTCCTAGCGATACGAGGCGAAGCTCTATCGTTCTGGCGGGATTATCAAGAACTGCGCCTCAGCGTCAGCGGCACCCCTTACCGCCCTTATCACAGTTATCGGCTCGTTACGGTATGGGATGGATCGACGTCTCGCCACTGAACTTCGCTCCCCGGGTGCGTCACGTGCTGATTTCATCAGCGGACAGATTTTCGCCCACGTGAATTTGTAGTCCCGCGAAGCAGCTGATTGCAGCACTTCAGAACAGCATGTCAGCACACACAGACGTGACCAATACATTCGTGCTACCTTTTTTGTCATGCTGCCGAAATATCAACCCAATTATGTTTGCGTTCTCCTGGTTTTCCCCGAGGAACAAGGCTAATACTGCTGTCTTATCTATGTGAATAATATTCCTCGCTAATGCACTGAGCAACTTACGTAATTTTTTGTCATGGGCATAGGGTGAAGACCGCGCTGGGGTACTCAGGGATAACCATGTTCATCTCGGTGTCGGGACAAGAAGTGAAAACAGGCGGCCCGCTGCGGGTGCCGCTTTGTGTCACGGCAGGATAAAACAGACGCATTTTTGTAGCATTCGTACGTCGCGATTTTTTATATTTTTTATTAGTGCAACAGTGGTCAGCAGGATGATCAGTAGATATCAGTGGTACGTCAACCCCTACGAACATTCTAAAGATATTCATGCATGTATCGTGACCCCTTGGTCCACATCCCCAATGTCTCGTATCGATGACGTCCGCATGCCCAATTAAATGAAAAATGTCATGTTTTGAGCTATGGTGATACTATTTAAGCGCTCAATCCGCGGATATTATATTTGCTTTTGAAAATGCAAGGCATGCCAGGTGTTATCTGCAGATTAAAGAGAGTGCTCCACATTTATGTGGGGTTTTCAACTGAAATAAGCATCTTGAAGACATTTCGGTGCTGTTCACAATCCTGCGCTTCCTGAGACCTAAGCCCGTCTATTTTATGAGCTAAACGCCAGCGAAAATGAGTAAAGGCATATCTGGGAGGGTATTTCAAAGACACCTCGATACATAACGCCATAATGACGTCATCAAATCCTGTCATTCCATTATCCATGCTGTGATCAGGGCCAAGGCAATTATAATTTTCAAGTCGTTCATATCTGGCGTTCGTGAGCGCGATTTCCAGATACTGCGGCCGCCAACTGGCTCTCAATCAATGTCGTGCAAGGCACGATGGCGTAATCAAACCATGACGCAGTGAGGAGCACATTTACTCAACAGAGAGCTGTGCTGTCTAGAGCAGCATTTTTCACTTAAAAACATACCAAAAGTTGTGAGTGAACTTGTTTCACCATATCTGATGCTTGCTTCAAAATCTCCAAATGTGAAACATGCCCTTTAAAACAAATGCGAAGTGAACAATGGCCTTTGACCTAGCTCACGTGGTCACGTTTTCTACATTGACTCGGGGTAATTTCAGGTTTTCAGTTTACTTGTAGGAATTTTTGCGACATTTGCGATGCATCCTTGACAATATCTCATATACTGTTATGAGTGTTACGACACTAGAAACATAGCAGTGCCAACTGCAGTAATGAAAACGCGTCGTTTCCATTCTTGTGACTCTCTGTAGCTTTGCAAATCGAGGCTTCTGCCGGATCGCCAGCACTAAAGGGGCTGTTTCCCATTTCAGGACATTTGGGCAAGCGTCAAATCTGTTATTGAAGAGGTCTACCTGCAAATTTTGTCAGGCTTTGAAGTGAAAAGACTGCTCTGATAGCCAGCTTTCACTAATTAGCGAACACCGGCCTTGTCGCACCACAGTTTTATGGCGCCTTTAATGACGTCAGAGTTGTTGTCAGAGCGACCGCGTCAGAGTTGCCGCTGTAGCAGACGGCGTAACTAATTTCTTGCACTGCTACACGCCGCAAGATGGCGTTGTTGATTTATGCGTGTGGAGTCAAGGTATGAGCGCATAAGCGTGTGTTTTAGCCTTTCCCTATGGTGATGTATATTTTTTCCGTGGCATTTTCATTACCTGCGTTGACATTTTCGACTATGGTGATATTATTAACCCACTCCCTGATTCGCTGTTTTTCATAACGCTTCATCCCACAGCCCCAAAATGATCATTTCTGGTCGAGAGGGCTCCAATCTAAACAACACGCGGACCGACTTTGTTACATCAACGGGGCCACATACCATACACATCTCCCTAAAACACATACACTATACGCAGTGTGCTCAGAACTGAACAAGGAGCACGCTTGTTTAGGCTGAGTGTCGTTACGAATCATAGTCGCGTGCGTACGGGCATGAAATCTGGAAAGTGCGGTTTTCTGGAAAATTTGACCTCAGACCTGGCATGATGGGATCAGTTATTGGCCGAGAAGCGTGCAACTTATTGCTAATGGGTACATCCATCTCACTTAAAACAATCCACTTGTGTTTTCTGCAAAGCTTTATGTTTCTTAATTTGGGAACGGCACAGGGTAGCATCGGCCCCCTATCAGTCGCACTATGAAAAACGGCGAATCTGGGCGAGGGTTAACATGGGCGTGTCTGTGAATTGCACGAACACACGATGGAAATGGCTATATCAGTTCACAACCCCATGCAAATGTGCAACAGTTCCTTGAAGTGATGACCTGCCAGGAGGTCAGTTGAATCAAACGGATGCCACCGGCCGGCAGACACTGCAGTGCCAGCTATGCAACGGTTCCTTAAAATGATGACCTGCCAAGAGGTCATTTGAATCGAACGGATGCCACCGGCCGGCAACCATTGCAGTGCCAGCTACTATCCCTAGGAGAGCGCTATCGGAACCACGCGGCTACACTCTTTGCGTGCGATTACGCACATTTCCCCGGGGGGACTTACGTTGTCCATCATGCTACGGGTCGGCCGGTCGCATTAAGTACTGTGCCAGCGAGTGGTCATGTGGGCAAAAAAGATAACCCTTGCCGAAGTATGACGTATATTGCCCGCGCATAGTGGCTCTACAGTGATAGTGCTCCGATGGTGTTCTGGCTCCACAGTGATAGCGCTCCGATGGTGCTCTGGCTCTACAGTGATAGTACTCCGATGATGCTCTGGCTCTACAGTGATAGTGCTCCGATGGTGCCCTGGCTATACAGTGATAGTGCTCCGATCAGTGTCCTAGAATTGCCGACTTTGGGTGTAAAGCAACACTCTATGAGGAGGAATTTTTCACTCATTTTCCCCACGTTTTATGTGAATTTTTCACTCCCTCCTGAAATTGTCTAACCGCACATACTGAGCCCATATGTTCCTCTCATGTTTTTAAGATATCATCAAAGTCCTAGCAAGCGGCAAAACTGATTCTGTGGCCATCCTGGAGTTGTATTGCAGTTGGAGGACAGATTGTTTTGTGGAGCACCTTCTATTGCCCTTGACAGAGAGAAACCATGGCAGTCAAAATAACTTGTTAGAAGTGATGTAAATAATTTATACATAGGCCTGTCCTCTCAGTTGGCTGCTAGGTTTTGCTTTGTTTGGTGTCAACTCGTGGTGTCAACAAGCTGGCAGAAATGAATTAAACCAGAACGCAAGTTGATATTGGCTGAAAACAAGCTGTATTGTTATTTTATCACAAAGGCTGCCACCAGGAAATAGGTCAGATATGATAAGATGATGTCCAACATATGGGCTACCCTAAGTTTAGTTCAGTGGCCTACTTACACAGAAAGAAACGGTAGGGGTTTTGCTGGATCAATGACTCACAATTGCTGCTGTTATATAAATGGGTTAGTCATGATGAGATGAGGTAAAGCTTCTCTAGGCTAGGCTTAGTTACACTACTTTCATGGAAGTGATGGTAGGTATTTAGATTTTGTGAGAACCAGTGACATAATATTTTCTCATCCCATTCTAACAGAAGCCAAAAGTATGTCAGGTGTTAGTTGTAAGGTTTGACAATGTGTTTATGTGCATGGGTCCAAGACTCTTGTTGTCTGAATGTTTTATGCTGGTTGAATTTCATCACACATTCCTTATCTGCAAAGCAAAACTCAAAGCAATGTATCAATAGCAAGCTTTTATGCCTTGACAGAGTTAGGAAGGCATTCAAATTTACTTTTAGGGTGTGCACCAACCAGCTGGGGATGCGGGGGGATATACAAGAAATGATGGAGCCCAAATACATTTTTTTCAGGAAAGTGTCTTGATTGGCTTCACAGCGGTTTCCATTTATGTGCCCTCCATAGTCATATCACGCACACCGCTGGTTGTGGCAGTAAGTGCTGCCATCTACAAAGTTTCATCACCGCTTTCTCGTCACTTCTACCGCCAGGTGGCAGAACTTATGGTGTGACTGGTCGACAGAATTCAGGGTAGCACGCGACCCCCTGTCATCCTTGCCATTCTTGCTCCGAATCCTTTCGGCCATGGGAGGCCGTGGACGCCCTCACCAAGAGATGAAGGACGGCGACCTGGTGCCCTGCAGCACCTGTGGCAAGCGGCTGACAAAGCATAATCTGCCAAGACACGCCGGATCCCAGCACCAGGTCGGTCCGAAAAAGCTTCGAGGTTTTGTGAAAAAAAATGTGTAAAAGAGGAGACGAAGTCAGTCCGTCAGAAGAGATATGAGGAGCGTACGTTTAAGGACTTGTTGACATCACAGTCCGACAGCGAAGGACTCGACGATCCGTCAACGTCGCGCGGTGTTGTGTCTGGGCATGTGAATGTAAGTGTGACTTCCGGAGGAGGCAAGGTGGTGGAGAGCAGGCATGTGGAAGTAGAGCAGGCTCGTGGTGTGCATGTGGATGAAAGCGTGGCTTCTGGAGGAGGGGAGGTGGTGAAGAGTGAGCATGTGGAGGTGACGCTGGCTTGTGGTGTGCAGATGGAGGGAGGAGTGACCGCTGTAGGAAGCGAGGTGGTGGATGAGAGCAGAGCCGTGGAAGATGTGGGAGCGGGGCAGACTGGAAATGCAGGTGTAGTAAAAGGCATAGACGTGCATGCGCTTGGAGGTATGCCGACTGCGTTTGCTGAAGTGAAGAAATGTACGTGTTGTGATTGCCACCGGCGGCGAGAAGCTAT